AAGATCAAAATTCAATTGATTAATTTAAGTTTATTAAATAACCATGCATTGCATAATTAAAATTTGCAATTGTTATGCAGGTGATTTAATTTATTTTAACCGATTTAACTATTTTTAATATGATGTATTTGTTATATTTGTTATGTAAAAATTTGGTAACTATGTGAAATTTCTTTAAGTAAATTAGGTTAATAAGTTGATATGATACGTTAGCAATTGTTTTTCCTATTATCATTCCTGTCTTTTGTCTCAATTGCCTCAATTGCCCAATAATAAACATTATTAGTTTTTGAATAAATATCAAATACGGTCCACAATGGAAGACAAATTTTCTAAAAAATGACACATACTAAATTACATATCTAAACATAGTCTCTTAATCTTTATTCACAAAACATGTACTGTTCAAAGTATAAATGTAATCATTCTGAAGATAAATTCGTTTGGGAAGATATTCAACATAAAACCTGTAAAAGCTCTAAGAAAAAATTGTCAGTTGCAATTACGAATTCAACTATTGAATCGGTCAGATAGTTTGAAAATACTGACTATGACATTATTTAAGAGACAGATATTGCACATGTTAAAATCGATTGTCTTGATGTGGGGACCTTATTGAGCACGAAATCAAGGAGTTAACACTTGGTGAGTCCAATACCAATGCAGTATATAAGACTCACTTGCTTGTGAATATAGATATAACTTCGGACATGACAGCTAAGAATGTTGCTAGTTTTATTGTCACCGAAATAGAAGGTGGTGATGATTATTCGTATAAGTAAGTATATAAATTATATTATATTAATTTTTTTTTGAGTCAACCAGGGTGGCCCCACAAAGTGCGGATCAATAGCGTAGCCACAGCCGCAACTAATAATTTGCTAATTATACTGTATTTACGAACAATAATCGATATCAATTTTAACCTCAAACTTCTTAATGAATAATTGTACTAATTAATAGCTTTAAGGCTCATCATTGATTGGTTATTCATATGCTGCAGTTGCATCATTGATCCGCACTTCGGGGGCTACTCTGGTTGACACACTTTTTTTTTTTCATATACGCGAATGCTTTTAGGCACTTAATTTATTATTTTTTTTAATTTTTATTGTTCTTATAGTTTTCATTATTCCAAAATGTCCAAAAAATTTGGTGACAAGGTTGGTATGTTCTACTATATATACTGTCAATCATGTGAGATACAGAGAGTGTATAAAGATTCAAATTGAAAAAGAAGAACGCATTACGACTGCAAAGGCAAAATTAATGTAAAAGTTAATCTGGATCTTGGTGTCTCTGTGATAGACATTTATCATAAAATTCTTCATCTGTGTCTAGTTCTTTGTTCTGAGATGCCTATTGAATTACGAGAAGAAATTGAGATTAATGCAC